ATCATTTGGTATTGAGTATCAATTACTATTTGTTACAAATAAAACCCTAATTTTTGTTCATTTTTATATTTATGATCAATGTATCAAAGACTAAAGTTCAAATTATATGATGGGTGTAAACTACAAAACAATGTATCATAGTCGAAAATAGTTGAACACATGATACTTAAATATCATATTATGAATATATGATGTTACATTTTGGATACAAATCATGTGTACATGTATCTAGTTAAGAGTTCATGTATCTGACTTAAGATTAGATGTATCTATGAGAAAAAGTTTCAGATGCTAAAAAGGGAAGAATTTTGAAAAAAAAATCCGTTCTTTTTGGATTAATGATAAACAGATACCCTACCATCGCGATTTTTTCTAAATTTGTGCGTTTCAGTTACATTTCATAGTTAGATACACATAATTTTATGTATATGCTTATTATGTATCTGTAATACATGTTTTTGAATGTAATGTATGAAACTAATACTTGATACATCAAATTAATACTAGATATATATAAAAGAAACATGAAATTAAAATTAGATCATCTAAATAGATACATGAAATTAATACTAGATACATATAACAAATACATTAAATAAAGGAAAAAATTACTTATATACACACATTAACTTACCTTATTCTCCATTAGATAAACTACCTTATTAGACATACATCACTACTATATATACTAATATTATCTTTACTTTTAAACAATTACATATATTATCATTTTTAGTATTTTATACCATATATTAATATATTATTTGAAAATACTATTAGATATCCACATCCCTTAAAACTATTATTGATTAATTATTTGCTTAAATAACCCTTTCACTCCAAATCAACCACTATCTCTTAATTCTCCCCTCCCATGTTTATCACTCAATTATGTCTCCTCCTTTCTGATTCAAGAATTTCACCTTACAATTTCATTTCAACAATAGTTAATCTACTCTCTTCTTCTCAAGATATCATCACCACAAATTCTCCTGAACCCAAATATCATTTTGTTTTGTTCATTTATCACGAGTTCCAATCACAGTAACTGCTATAGAGAAAACTTTCAATTCATAGTGGGTCTTGATTGTTTGTCTCCGAAAGAAATGGATCTTAGTTTTGATTATGTTATGCCACAGTGCAAAAGGCAAAGGGAATATTGTAGAGAGTTTTTGTTTGCTGGTGTTCTTCTAAGACTTTCTTTGGTTACTGTGATATGGATGTGGTAGTAACAATATTACTTTGATATAGCCCTTGAAACATGTGTATCCAATAAGTAGTAATCTTAATTAAGATCTGAGTTGTATTTTTAGTAATAGGGTATCTGAACATGTATATGTATCCACTATATATTAAATTTTGAATACATGATTTTTAACAACACAGTGATATTAATGATATGACAGATACTCCACCGTCGTGATTTGTTCATAGATTCATGTGTTTCAACTACATTTCATATTTAGATACACATAATTAAATGTATATGCTTATTATGTATTCAAGATACATATTTTTGGATATAACGTATGAAATTTAGATACACATAATTAGATGTATATGGTTCTTCTTTTTGTATATTCCATAATTAAATATACATAATTAGATGTATATATTTACTATGTATTCGAGATACATGTTTTTGGATATAACATATGCAATTGATACTTGATACATCAAATTCATACTAGATACTTATAAAAGATACATGAAATTAATATATATATAGACATATCCCCAAAATTAATAAATTTACATGAAGAAAATATATTCTTCGAGGGAATATCCTTGATGTATTTTTTTATTGAATTTTCAATTCCTTGGATTATGAAATGGTCAATAGAAGTTAATAATACTTCAGAAGGATTTTCTTGTTTGTAGAGGACCTTTTATACAAAGTTCTGGAGTAAGTTACTTCAGAAGAACCCTGAAGGCCAAATGCATGGCCAAGAGATTATTGATTCAATCAATGTTAAAATCAGCAAGTATTATAATACTGCCACCTCAGAACCACAAGTAACAGAAGATTTGAGTCCATTCAAAAAAATCACAAGAAAACTTCAAATGAAGAAAGACTTATCTCCAAATCAAAAGCCATAACATTATATATGGAGGAAGTAAAAAAAGATTTAATGAGAAATCTTGACATAGATATAAAAGATGATATCTCTATGGTATCAGCAAGCCATACAAATGATGAAGATATATAGATATATAAAATTAATACTAGATACGTATAACAAATACATGAAATTAATGTTAGATACTTCTATGATACATATGAATGTACTTGTATGACACTCATGTATCTAAATGTTTAGTTTGTTGGATACATCATAAATTGATAATAGATACATCAAATTAATGAATTTATTATTTTAAGAGTAATAATTTGAAATTAATCAAATTACATTACCAAGATATACATGTTTTTATCTTGTATTAATAATATTAATGAATTTACTATTTCAAAGAATAATAAAATGAAATTAATTATCTATGTATTTTGAAAATCCTCAATTACTCCTCTAATTAAGGAAATAAGTTACAACCAATTAATTTAAATAAATAAATTTTGTATCTCAATTTTAAAATTCGACAGATACATGTATCTCATGGTTCAGACTCATGTATCCTAATCATAAAATATGGTAGAGGAAGTAATATTTGAAACTATTGGGAATCTTAATAATTAAGACCTAAACTAGTGGGATTTATGTGATTTGCCCTTCTCCATTTATCCCTACCTTTTAAAAATATTTCACAAATCCCTTATTTCTCCCAATTCTTAAAAAATTCGGATATATAAAATCCATCAGCCAAACCTATGCTTACCACTCCTCTTTTCACTCCACATTCTTAGTAGTTACAATTTTCAAATCAACTTGATTTTCAAAAAGATTCTCCCTCCAGTCAATCTATTTCAAACATCTCAATATGTAGGGATTGTCTTCTCCATTGTCGTCTTCCTAAAAAAAAACTGTTTAGTTTTGTTCTTGATACATATGGATCAGGCTCCTTCATTTAGTAACCTTTTTCAAATTGATTTCGATTCTTAATGTGTGTCTCCAACGATTCAAAATTTCTCACAATTAAGTAGCTTTTTTGTTTGTTTGTATTTTTTTTGAGTTAATCTCGTCATGGTTCCTCTTCGTCCATTGTTGTTTTCAACCTCTTCTTCCTGCATCATATTCGTTGTACCATAATATTCTAACGATGGGTGTGTATTTTCTTTTTTTGTGAGATCAAATGAGTTTTTTTTTAGATCGGGATGTATTTTTGGTGTTTCTCGTGAAGTTTTTGTGTCTTTTTTCATTACAAGATATTTGTATCAATATATTTAAGGGTATCAATTCACTATTGTACTTCTTGTATCAAAGTAATCAAATGTATTTATTTGTTGATATACTTTGTATCAATGTATTCGACTTATACATTTATATCAAGATATTCAAATATATCAGTTCATTTAGTATCTATTTCTTTGTTTTAAATTTTTGTCTTCCCCTCTTATTAGTTGCTTTAAATTTGTGATGTATCTTGTTTTAAATCTACCGCTTTTACACATAAAACCCTAAATTTTGGTCTATTTTATTGATATATTATGATTAATGTATCAAAGGTTAAAGTTCAAATTATATGATGGGATGTAATATTCATAACAATGTATCATAATCTAACATAGTTGAACATATGATACATAAATAACATTTAATGAATATATGATCTTACATTTTGTATCAGATTCAAATAAATGTCAGATTATATACAACAACATTTGGTATTGAGTATCAATTACTATTTGTTACAAATAAAACCCTAATTTTGGTCCATTTTTTGATATTTATGATCAATGTATCAAAGACTAAAGTTCAAAGTATATGATGGGTGTAAACTGCAAAACACTGTATCATAGTAGAAAATAGTTGAACACATGATACTTAAATATCATATTATGAATATATGATGTTACATTTTGTATCAAATTCAAATATTTGTCAGATTGTATACAATATCATTTGGTATTGAGTATCAATTACTATTTGTTATCATTAAATATCAACCAAGGCATAAGTGTCAATTCACAACACCAACTCAAGACGATTTAGTTAATGTTGAATAGAGATTATCTATGAGTTCTTAGACACTTTTTTTTTATAGTGTAATTGTTTTTGAGATACATTAACTCTAGTTTTAGAGTTTTTTTTTATTGTTTTAAGATACTCGTACTCAAGGTTTAGAGTGTTTCTCTAAAAAGTTATTTATTTTGAATTTAACTTTCATTATTGTTAGTTGTTATTTACAGTATGGTTTGTCCTACACATTTGTCTTATATAAACAGATACAAAATTTGAATAAAATTAAGTATCAGATTCATAAATGCATAAACACACAATATTATTTCTTCTCATTAGTTTTAGTTAGCTACCGATACATTTTAACACCTAATGATAACTAACTCCAGATAGTTTGTATATTGATACATACCTTCATATATTGATAAAGAAATTCATATATTGATACACAAAAAATCATATGTATCTAATACGTTATAGTAACAACACACTGACTCACATATATAAAAATCCAATACATACACATCAAACTAGAATTGAATCAAGTTGAAATCTATCATGATTTATATATGCATATACAAATTCAAAAATCAAAAAAATAAATTCACATGTATCTGATACTTTATATTAACAGTACACATTGGAACCTCATAGGTTTTTGCTAATGCTTGCACGAAGCCTTCATACTCCATCCACATCGTCAGATTAAAAGTAGCTACATGTTTAACAGTGCAAGCATAATCGTGCTATTGACGGCAGAGTATTGAGACAAATCCAAACTTAAGTATAGTGAAGATATGCATGACCATCATTATATGATTTTTATGGAAATTAGAAATAGAAGCAGAAGTTTTGAAACATTCAAAAAGACAGCAAAAACAAATTATTGAATTGAATACAACTAGGTTTGCAATTCTTGGCAGCTTAGGCAAGAGACTCTCGCTCTTTATTTTCTCTGATTAGCTCTGCTCTCATTCTTCTGATTTTTGCCTCATTCTCCATTCTCTCTTGCTTCTCATCTTGATGAAGAGCGATCCAAACATAGATTTTGTCCATGATTTGCCAGAAAGCGAAGGCTCCTACAGACATAGCAAAGAACGTCGCAACTTTCACCATCTTCGCTAAGGTTTTGAGTCCTCTCAGCTCAGGGTACTACTACAATCTTGCCGCTTCAGATTCATAAATGAGATAGATTGTCGACAATTCCATTTGTAATATTCATAAATCACCTCGCTCACCCAACCTCAATAAAATTGATATATTCATCTATTTTTTCGAGTTATTTGAATTTAGAACTTTTTCGGCAATAATGGTTCCTCGATGGAGAAGTTATGAAACAGGAGAGACAGATGCATTCAAGCAATTTGTGAGTTTCTTCTTTTTATTTTATTTTTCCTCCTCAGTTTTTTGCTTTTTGTGATTTTCTTCTTAAGGTGTGTTTGGTATGAAGGAAAACATTTTCCTTCCAATTTTCTCACGTTTGGTTGGGTTAAATGTTTTGGAAAATGTTTTCCAAATCAACTCATTTTCCTCAAATTTAAGGAAAATGACTTCCCTTCAAAACTTAAGGAAAACATTTTTCAAAACTTTCTTCCAACTTCAAACTACAATTACTTTTTTGTTGAAAAAATCAATTTATTTTGTCCCTACCCTCAAACCAGTCCCCCCCCCCCCCAAAAAAAAAATAATAATTTAAAGCTTGTTTTTAAATTCAATTTTTTTACTCACCCTCACCCCTACCCCTACCCCCACCCCCTCCCAAAAAAATATTAAAAATTATTTTTAAAAGATATTTCTAATTTCAATTTTTTATTTTTTACCCTCACCACTACCCTCGCCACCCCCCCCCCATCAATTTTTTTTATTGTTTTTAAAAAATATTTTCAACTTCAATTTTTTATTTTTTCATCCCGATCCTCGATCACCCACGCCCCCTCCCCGGTCTGCCCCCCCCCCCCCAAAAAAAAAATTGAGTTTGTTTTTAAAAAATATTTTTAACTTCAAAATTTTATTTTTTCACCTCTACACTCGATTCCCCCCCCCCTCCCAACCCACCCATCCCATACTCGCCACCCCTACCCCAAAAATAATAATTTAAGTTTGTTTTTAAAAAATATTTTCAATTTCAAAATTTCATCCTACCTTGACCCCCCTCACGCACCTCCTACCCAGCCCCCCACCCACCCCACCCCACCCCTACCAGCCCCCCCCCCCCCCCCCAAAAAAAATTGTAAGTTTGTTTTTAAAAAATATTTTCAACTTCAAAATTTCATTTTTTCACCCTACTCTTGACCCCCCCACCCACCTCCTACCCAGCCCCCCTACCAGCCCTCCACCCCCAAAAAGAAAATTAAATTTGTTTTTAAAAATATTTTCAATTTCAAAATTTCATTTTTATACCCCTACTCTCGACCCCCCACCCACCCACCCCCTACCAGCCCCCCCCCCCCCCCCCCCAAAAAAAATAATAATTTAAGTTTGTTTTTAAAAAATATTTTCAATTTCAAAATTTCATTTTTTCACCCCTACCCTCGACCCCCACCCACCCACCCCCTACCAGCCCCCTCCCCACCGCCACCACCCCAAAAATAATTTTAAGTTTGTTTTTCAAAATTTCATTTTTTTCACCCCTACCTTGCCCCCCTGCGCCACCCACCCCCTACCAGCACCCCCCCCCCCACCACCCCACCCACCCCCTACCAGAACCCCCCTCCACCACCCCCAAAAATAATAATTTAAGTTTGTTTTTAAAATATATTTTCAATTTCAAAAATTATTTTCTACCCTAGTAAAAATAAAAGATATTTCTCAAAAAAAAAATCATTCATAAATCAAACACTAAAAATCATTTCCGGAAAATATTTTCTACTCACCAACCAAACATAAGAAAATAAGTCAAAAATCAACTTGTTTTCCAGGAAAACATTTTCCTTCGTACCAAACACACCCTTAATTATAATGTTTATGATGTGTGTGCAAGGTTAGGAAATTTTTTTGTATCAGATGATTGTCGCAGTACTCAACGCTATATGAGTTGAAGTGACGATGAAGAAATAAAGGTTTAAAAGATCCATCCATCACTATGGCCAGCTGGGGCAGAACGTTTCCTTGTGAGCAATTTGATTTATCTTAGCAGTTAAGTCCCAATTTGAGTCAAGTTTGACATCTCATATTTCGATTGAAGACCACGATCCACAATATGTCTAACTGCATATATTTCACAGTTTATAGCCTTAATCTGCAAAAGATATATAGATTAAACTTGATTTTGGACTTCAGAAGAAGTCGATTATCATTAGGTTTAGGATGTGTTTAAATTTATCATTAATCTTGTGGCTACAAAACCATTATATTTGCTGTCATTACTTTCTCCACATTTTTAATTGCTAAAAGGAAGAGACAACCTCTAATGTAAGAATCAAAATTAAAGAAAAGCATAACCAAGTTGAATATAATTCATTTGAAGAACAAAAACGTATTTTAAATATTTAAATCTATAAATAATAATAAAATTAAGAGTAAAAAAGTGATTTGACATTTCTCTTTTCACCAAGAAATATAATTATTTTTTCTCCTTTCATTTTCTTTATTTATTTCCTCATTTATGTGTGTGTTAGTATATTATAAAAACTAAAAACACCCACTTCTTTAACTCTATTAAATATACAATAGTAAGAAACTCAACGGCTATTTCTTTAAAGTAAAATTTAATGGTCTTTATTTTCATTACCCCAACAATTATTAACGTAACTTCTAAAGTAATTAATGGTTATATTCATGACATTATTTGGTATATTGTATTGTAATCCTATAAATAGAGATATTGTAAAACTTTGTTGAAATGAGCATATTAGCTTTTAAATTATTGTGTTTCCGATGCTTATTATATACATCATTTAGTTTGACTCGGAGAAAAATATTAAGGCTATTAAATAGTGATCGACTTGTGAGAGTGAATGTCAATTAGAGCTCAAAAAATTGTATATTGATTTTATATTTTATTCTATCAATTAATAATTAAGATTGTAAAAAAATGACATTGCATTATACATATAATTATTAATATCTTATAGTCTTTTATAGCCGCGCTAAGCGCGCTAACAAATATGTGCACTTTAGTTTACTTGCAAATAAAAAAAATTATGCATATTTTCTGTTAAACCGTAGATTAAAGTTTATATTAATTATATTGTAAATAGTGTCACTTCCTTGGGGAAACAAATTTTTTAAGTTAAATATAAGAATTAATTTGAATTATACAAGAACTTGAAATAGGCAATGCCTCTAAGCATTTGTAACAAATATAAATATTTATACAACTTTCTCAAAATTATAAAATGTACTACAGTAGAAATTTAAGATATAATTTTTTTTAATTAAACAACAAAAGAATGTCACTACACCAAAACACAAATAATGATGCTAAAAAATTAAGGGAATTTCTCTTTTGTTTCTTTGGATGAACTTTATTTCCTAACAATCAAGGCTTAGGTAACGAAAGGTTAAACAAAATCAAATAAAATTAAAATCTAATTTATTTGGGTTTGAAGAAGAAATTCTAATTTATTTGGGTTTGAAGAAGAAAATCTAATGAGATATTTATTAACCGCGCAAAGCGTGGTCAAATTTACTAGTATTTACATATAATACAATATCGATGAGAATATTATAAATAGGTTTTAAAAAATAAAAACTCATAGTATACAATTGTAATAATATATCTTAATTGATCAAACTTTATTCTGTTGACTTCTATAATATAATAGTTGAAATTATAATATGAAAGTTAGATCTTTTTTCTATTCAAATTGTCTTGAACTATTCCCCGTATATTGTATAAGAAAATCATTGATCAAATCCTATCTTCAATAAAAAGATACTAATTTTTTAAAAGAAAATAATCAAAAACCATAAGCGCCTAATCTTTTTGAAACAGTACTTCTCCCGACTCATGTTTTACTTTTTTGGTCCATCATTAATTACTCTAGTATCTAACCTATCACAATTCACAGAAGTGAGAAGACTTATTTTAAATTTTTATTAGATTTGTCCCATAGATATGTGAAAAAACTAATGAGTTTAATAATAAATGAGTTTTTATTTTTTAGAATTATCATGCCTAAAAATGCAGATGATTCTTTATAAAATTGATTCAAAAAATAATACAGTTAAAATTTAAAAAAAAGTCTCAAAAAGTATTTACCAAGCAAGTTACAATATATATATATATATATATTGTACGTAAAATAATATATATAAATCTTTGAATTTATAAGTAAATTTTATTTAAATATTCAAATTATTTTAATTGAGCAATTTATATTAAGCACTTCTGATTCGAATTTGCATGTGTTTCAAGCGTTTATAACTTGAACAAATTGTTCATTTAATTTTTTATTTTTTTTTAGTTATACGCATAAAAATATACATATTTACATGATTAATTTATGAGACTTGAATTCGGCGCGAATTATTAGTTTTATTTCTGAATTATTGACAGTCTTAAAAATACTTTCGATCTTGCAACATGGTGAAATACACCTCTAACTTCTCACCAAGTTTAGGAGTTATTTTCAACACTTCTTTCGACTTTTTATTAAGAATCGCATGCTCCCTTGATATATGTCATGTGAACAGATCGGAGATATATCTAACTTTAGTTAATCAAATAGAAAGGTATGTTTAAGACTGTCAATAGTGTAAGGACGAAACTAATAATTTGCGTCAAATTCAAGAATGTTCCATATATATAAGAAAGGGGAATAAGCACACAGCTGGCCGTCAACATGTCAGCTTCACTGTGTGCTTATTCTCATATTGAGCTACTTGGCTTACTGGTAGGGGAGGCAATGGGGCGGAGGGATGCAGATGCTATGCGGGGTGGGGCGGGACAAGTTTAAGGTTGTACGGGGCGGGTGGGATAAGGAGCGGATTGAAGCGAATTTTTTTAAAATTAATGCGGGGTGGGTTGCAGGTGTATGTGATTTAATGTTGGTTCAAAGTTCATTTTAACTTTTTTACATGTTATAAGAGTGATAAAACATTATGTATGAAGATAATTTCTTCAAAGGTACTAAAATGATCAAGATAGTAAATGAAAATGGTTCAATAAAAAATATAATACAATTTCTTACATGTTTCATAATTGACCTCTAGAAA